TCATGAAGGAAAAGAAATGGCCCATTTCAATTATATAATAAAGTTCATCAAGCACAGTCCATAGGGACCACAATCATCACCAAAGCCTCAGTCCCATTTGAGTTTGTCTGACTATTTACATAGATTCTATTTCGAGGTCTTCCATATATAAAAACACTTGTCAGTATTCCACAAACTACTCCACATATTCTTAATTTCTTCTGCCCTTTCACTTCTATGGCTCTCTTCTCAAAATTCTTCTCTTTTCTGTTCTTCACAGTACTTTTCCTGTCTCTGCAAATCCATGCCAGAGACATTCAGTTCTTCAGCAAAGTAACACATGCCAACGACAATAATATTAATGGGATCAAAGAAACTGATCTCCCCAGCAAAGAAGAAGAACCAGTGAACAAGCAGCCAGAGCAAGAGCCTGTCTTCGTCCCTGAGGCTCATGACAGCTATGGCCTCTACGGCCACGAGTCCGCCGGACAGTTCCCTCCGGCCACCACCACCACCGCCACCATGACGACGTACCCGCCGTACAAGACTGAGTCTGAGGAGTACATGATGAGCAAGTATCCAAACAATAAGTATTATTCCTACTACAACAGGGATGCTTATAACACAAACTACTACAAGGATGCTTATGGCAATGATCTGGACAATACAAAGCACACAGGAGGAGGATACGAGTCTGTAATGTCGAAGAATCAGATGATGAGGAAGAAGAACCAGATGTTCTATAACAGCAACAATGGCGGATATGATGATAGGTATCACCACAATAATGGTGAGAGGCAAGGAATGAGTGATACTAGGTTTATGGAAGGTGGAAAATACTACTATGAGAATAATAACTCCATTGAAGGATATCAGAACCAAGGGTTTGAGGGTAACGTAGATGAGTTTCAGCCTTGAACTTAGATCAGTGATAAGTTATTAGAGAGGATAGGGTTAATTTGTGATGATGATTTCTTAGTTAAATTCTACTGAATCTTGATTTTGGATCTACCTAGTTTCTGTGTCGTTCATAATATGGAAAAGTTATGAAGCATGAGAGCACACGTGTGTAGTTTCTGCTTACTGTGACAATGCCAAGTTAAGATTGCTTAGTTATTCGTTTTCTTCTGGTTTTAAACTTCTTTGCTTGTTTGTGTTTCTGTTTTCAAATTAAATTGATTAACCTGTCATTATAATTATCTTTCTCTGTAATTAGAGTTGGAGAAAAATTTAATTAAATAACCAAATCAACTAGTTGCTCATCGTGGTTGGCCCCACAAAATGAGATTGCCATCATTTTTGAACGCTTTGAGAGGGAGAGTTAGGCTATAAAGGTTAAGTGGTGACTTTCCTTTTCATGGTTTATGTTCTTTCGCATCACACTCCCTCTTGTCCTTATCATAAAATTTTTTTAACTACTTCATTGAAATTCAGAAATAACAATAGTTAACAGCTCGTTAAATATGTCTTAATTAAAATGATTTTTTTTCAACTTTACTTATCTTAAAAATAAGAAAAATATACATATACAATAAACTATAAAATTAAATTTACAATAGGTGTAAAATTAAAAAATGATAATATAATAACCTTCCATGTGTCTGATATTAGATTTAAGTATATTTTTAATTCTTTAATTTTATATACATTTTGTTTGGACTTTTAAATTTAAAGCATTTTTTCAATTCCCTAATTATAACACTGATTATTTTTTATATCAACTATTGTTATTTTAAAAAAATAAACTTAATGTCTTAATATTTAAGAATATTTTATTAATAGTTAAAAGTTTAATATAAAATTTTTTTATAGTAAAACTGTTAAGATTAAATGATTAAAAATGTATTTTTTTAAATTAAGGAATTAAAATAAAAATTTATATAAAATTAAATAATTAAATATATATTTTAATTATTATATTAGTAAAGACTAAATAATTATAATAGAAAGTGTCCTATAATAAAGACATGTATAGTATTGGATATGGGATTGTGTTAGTCAAAGATTAGGGAGTAAAACAAATTAAGTTGTTAAGATCATCATGCATACAGCAATTCATCAGCAATTCATCATGTAATAATTAAAGAGAGATATATAGATGCGACTGTGGATAGGGACGGAACTGGCCTTGGAAGTTGTGGGAGGCCAATTTTTGTCAAAAAAAAATTATGCAAACATGCATTATGTGTATGTATGTATTGTTAATTTAATTTTATTATATTCTTTATAATTAATTTCTTAAAAATAATTTATAAATTTTAAAATATCATTTAATACTATAAGCCTTTGCACTTTTTTTTTACATTATAGGTTCTTATACTTTTATTTTTCAGTATTTTAGGTCCCTCTATAGTTCCATACTTTGCTTATGAAAGGACCTAAAATATCAAAAAATAAAACGGTGAGGACTTAAAATATTGAAAAAAAATGCAAGAACCTATAATAATATACAAGCAAAATGTAAAGACCTAAAGTAATATTTTTTTAAAATTTAATGATATGATTTATAAATAAGGTAAGAAATCATTCTCTTTCTCCTATAAATAAAATAAGAGATAATATTACAATGTGTATACATATTGTATCTAGATATATTAGGCTTTTTTTATCTTTTCTGGAGGAGGAAGGGGGTTGATGTTTTTAATAGGGCTAAATATTTTAAGACCCGCATAAATATATGGGAAGAGGGAGGAAGATGGCCCCCTTCACTATACACCTAGTTCCCTTGCTGATTGTGGATACACATTTCGGGAAAAGAAAAGAGATATCAATTTATCTGAATTTATAATTAAGAATGAGGGATATCAACTAACCCAGATCCTATTTAACAGTGTTGCCTATACAAATTAAGAAGAAATAAACATATATAGGTGTGTTGTGTTTGGTGAAACTTATTACTATGCCTATTTGAGTTAAATTATATACAAATGGTATAGTTGGAGAAAATTTTAATTATAAAGATTAACTAGGGGTTATATTGGCATGTAGACCCCACAAAATGAGATTGACATCATTTTTGAACCTCGTGAGAGAGGGTACATTAGATTTTAGAAGCTGAGGGGTAAATTTTCTTTGCTTGGTTTATGTCCTTTTGCCCCTTAATAGACAAATTGGGATTGTGTTAGTCAAAGATTATGAAGTAAAACAAATTGAAGTTGTTAAGATCAGACAGATCAAAATTTAACCATCAACGTATTGATATTACCAAATATGCTAGCTGGAAGAGAGAAATTCTTGGACTCATGCCTTGCTACTAGTTCTTGTTCTTTTTGACTTTTCCCTTCCCCCTTTTTCTTTAGGGAGAATTTTATACTAGGACTATAGATGTGATTAAATTAAAAATCAGACTGAATAAATCTGAAAATGCATTGTAGATTGCTGGGATTTAAATGAAAATAATTTTGTTAGATAAATGACTAAAATGCTCTTAATAAAAATGAAGAAATAAAATATGAATAGTGTGTAACATGATTTGTTAAATTCCTTACATTACTTGTTAAATCTGTAATATTATTTGTGAATTTATCAAGCCCCAATTAAATCTGAAAATTGTTAAATTTATTATCTTAACATGTACTTGTTAAAAACGTTATATTACTTATTAATTCCCTTATATTACTTTGATAAGTCAATTATGTTGCTTGTTAATTATGCAGCATTTAACAAGTCATGTTAAGTAGTTTTTCACAAGGGATTTAACATGACAAGTTACTTTATTAACTTGTAAAATTCACTATTACACATTTAGCAAATAATATAAGGGATTTAACAAATCATGTCATGCATTTAACAAGTCATGTTAAGCAGTAATTCATATACTCTTTCTTCATTTTTATTAAGACCACTTTAGCCATTTGCCTTATAGAATTATTTTCAATTCAATCCTAACACCTTGCAGTGTATTTTTAGATTTATTTGGTCTTGATTTTTAATTATTAAGTCACATCTATGGTCTAATATGAAATTCTCCCTTTTCTTTATAGATATTGGTTCTCTTGTTAGTTAATTTCTATACCATTATAAGTGTTTTAAGAGAAGTTATTTATTGGGTGAATGACACTTAAGTTCCAATGGAATCATTTTATTTAAATAAAGTCCCAATAAATTTTAAAATGTAAAGTAAATCCCTTAATACTTTAACTAATATTTTCATATAATGCAATTTATTTTTAATTTTAAAATTAGAAAAACGAGTGGCAAATGCAACAAGACAAAGTTGCAAATTATTATAAGTGTTCAAATAATATGTTACTTTTCAAATTTAACCATTAAGATTTGTGCTTCTTATTAAAATCAAGAAAATGAGTTGCAAATTCAAAAAGATGAAATTGCAAATTTAAAAGAGAAAGTTGCAAAATATGAAATTGGGATGACAAATTTGCATTCAGTGCAGACTTGGAGTAGTGGTGCTAATTGCTTGAATAACAACTTTTAGGGCAAATGGGCAAAAATGCTTAAGAAGTCATTGGCCAAAAGTATTCAATAACTTCAAGTAAAAAAAGGTATACAAGTACCTATAAAGTTATTTCTTTAGTGCATCTGTGACCAAATCCTTATTTTATACCCACAACATGGCTGTCAATGCCTTTAAATTTTAATAGTTTGGTTATAGATGCATAAAAAAAAATTCACTAGTACTTGTGCACTTTTTCTTACCTTAGGCTATTAGATGCTCCTGATGGTTAATGACTTTTTAAATATTTTTGCCTCTTTGCCCTTAATGTGACTATTATTCAATAGAGAATATATTTATTTACCAGTTTTATCTCAATACATAAAATTTGTTTCATTTTTTCGTTTGATGATACTCAATATAATCAAAGCCCAGGGTGATATCAAGGTCAAAAGGCCCCTCTATGTGTTGGGCCCATTTTTTAACGCGTCCCTGGAGATAGGCTGGGCTGGGCAATGGCTCAATTATGGGGCACTCTGCCAGCTTTGACGATGGCAATGAGTTGATAACCATGGTTTTGTTTTGACTTCCGAGTTCCCGCGCTTATTTAGGGTCCAGTGAAGAAATAACAAGGCAAATGTAGCGATTGGCTGGGACAGAGCCAAGTCATGGAAGTCGGCGAGGGAAGAGAAGGTGCAATTTCCGTCTCGCGTAAAAGGAGTTTCCCGGTGGGGCCGGCGATGACCTCAGAAAATTTGGTCGAGCAAGTCAATAACTGGTTGTTATTGACTTCTCGCGTCGATCATCGTCAATGAATCAGGGAAAGTGAGAATGATGAACTTAAGGAATGGAGGCTTGGATCCGCAATCGGCAGCAGAGAAAGCGGTTGCGGCGATTGGATTGGGATACGATGTTTGCAGGGACGTTCGTTTATCGGGATGCAAGGCCAGAATCGTCGACCTTCCCAGTGACCGGACAAAGGAGCTCGTCTTCCCCGGCGGCGTTATTGTTCCCAACGTTTCTGCTTCCGTCAAGTGCCATCGGGGCGAAAGCTTCAGAGATTCCTCCCAAGTTCTGTCCTTCCATCAGGCAACTTCCTCAATATGGTCTATAGCTTCTTAAGCTTACTTTTTGTTTTTGTTTTTACTTTTATAGCATTTACTACTTTTAGATAAGATAATACCAAATTATTTATTTTGTAGCAATTTGACAAAAGCACAACTGAGTCTCTGGTAGGGGTGTATGTGTTGCCAATTTGCATTGAATTGGACGTATGAATATAATGTATTTGTGAAGAGATAAAAAGGAAAGAAATGAATGTGAAGATATGATGACAATATTACTAATTAATTATAGGCATTTTGGTGGGGAGAAAAGAAAATACTTTTCCACCATTTAGACCAAACAGGGATGGGGACTAATGGCCGTGGGCTCATTTGCTTTTGTTGATGGTATTGAGTTCTTACATGGTTGATTCTTAATAGGACCAAGGATTTTGACAGAAGTATAACACCGGGGACATTACTCATTGAGAGGTATTAGTTAACCTATTTCAACGAACGTGTCTTAAATGACCCCAGAAGAGAATTAATGGCATATATATCACTTGTGATTTTGAACTATTATAACCACCCCTACTTCAAGGGTCAAATAGCATTCTTTACTGTTTTCTTGACACAAACTATGTGCGTACTTTGGGGTTTTACCTTTATGTCCTAGCATCTGAAGGTAGGGTACAGTTCACATGTTGGGGACTGATTGTCTGTTTTGAAAATTACTGCAGTACCAATGATACTTTAGCAACAGCGAGGACAAATCATTTAGAGTTTCCACATTTTATGTATTCTCAATGTAAAACGCTAAAAGTGTTGAATTTTGATCTTATTTTTTTTATGAAATAACTTCAATACTTGATGAACAATACTTCAGTGGCACCAGCTATAGCACATGATTATGTTATTACTCATTTTTACATTAAGGAGAACATGGCATAAGAGGTTAGTATAATGTTTCAGCTATAAATTGCATAAGGGGTATTTTTAATACTTAAATTGGGACGTGCTTGTAATTTACCTTTAGATAGCATATTTGTAAATTTTTCTAAACTTCAGGTTATCTACATTTTTTTTTAAAAGAAAGGGAAAAATTAACCTCAGTAGAAGTAATTCACAGATTGCTTCAATTTCTAACTAGATTAAGGTTGAAGTTGCTGTCAGGTAATCACTGAAGTTTCCGAATGAGAAAAAAGTCATAAGCCTCTTATCTGTATTATTTTTTTCTTTCAACAACTTTGCGCTACTATCACCTTTTATTATTATTATTATTATTATTATTATTTTTGGTAGTATCCATATATGATTTCAAAAAGAAAATCATTTAATTTTCTAGTTTAAACTTACATGGAATCATGCTTGTACGGATGTAATTTTTTAGAGATGTACACTGTCAACTAACACATATCTTATTATCTAAATTGGATGGAATTTGAATCATGGAAATTCTTCCAAATTCTCTTTGTTGCAGATGTCTGAACAATTCAATTTAGAGCTATCTTTATCAGGGAAGGTTCCATCTGGTTTATTCAATGCGATGTTTGACATGAGGAACAGTTGGAAGAAAGATGCAGCTTCCACTAAAGGTCTTGCATTTGATGGTTGGTTCATAACTTTGTATAGTGTTGAGTTAGATAGAGCCCACGTAGAGCTCTCTGAGCATGTGAAAAGCCAAGTGCCTGTGTCATGGAACCCTGCTGCCCTTGCTGAGTAAGTGCTTTTGTTTTTCTTCTTGTTGTACCTTCATTCATTTCTTTGATTTCTATTAATACTATAGTTGATTTGTTACTATTTTTACTTTTGTTGTTGTTGTAGTAGTAAAACATCATTTGAATAATAGATCACTACAATTTGGGAAAATATAATTGTTACGTTCATATTTCTGATTCGACCATAAAATTATCTATGCCCCATTTGGTATGTTGGAAATGATGACATGGAAATGGAAATGGAATTACAATTCACATTTTTTTTTTGTTTGGTGTGCATGAAATGGATTTCCATGTTGAAATGAAATCCATCAAAATAGGTTGAATTGGGTTCCATAATAAGGCCTATGGAAATGAGATGGGTTCCATGGAAGTGAATTTTTTTGGACAAAAATAACTTCAATTATGAAATTGTTTGACAGATTTGCCCCTCCATCAATCATTAAAGTAAATCGAAAGTCTTTCAGTAAATTGATTATATAAATACATATATTAAATAAAAAATATATCATAATTAAAAAAAATTGGCCTGAGTATTTTGGTAAATTGATTATATAGATGCATATATTAAATAAAAAAGTATATCATAATTTAAAAAATAGATAGGTGTATTTTAGTAAATTGATTATATAAGTGCATATATTAAATAAAAAATATATCATAATTAAAAAAATTTGACAGGTGTATTTTAGTGAATTGATTATATAGATGCACATATTAAATAAAAAAGTATATCATAATTAAAAAAATAGATAGGGGTATTTTAGTAAATTGATTATATAAATGCATATATTAAATAAAAAATATACATAATTTAAAACATAGATAGAGGTATTTTAGTAAATTGATTATATAAATGCATATATTAAATAAAAAGTAAATCATAATTAAAAAAAATTGACAGGGGTATTTTAGTATATTGATTATATAAATGCATATATTAAATAAAAAATATATCATAATTCCATGTACATACTAAACATACTTTTAAAACTCACTTCCACCTTCATTTCCATTTCCATTTCCATTTCCAGCAAAAACATTTCTAGGATACCAAATGAGGCACTAGTGTCTGAGCAATCATGGAAATGCAGTTTGACACCTGAACATGAAATTCTAGTCGATAGACCTGGAACCTGATGAGGTGAGGTTCACTTTCAATATCTGACTGAAATATTTGATAATTTTCTCAACCTGTATTAGATGAAAGTCAATGAACTATTATTTTCAATCCAACATTCAACCTGATCTTTTTTTAAAAAAATATAATTCTATAGCTGTTTCTGATTGAAAAGCCTTGTTTTATCTACTATCTTTCATACATTTAGTTTCCTTTGACCTGAATGGTGCACTTAATGACATAACTCTTCAGGTTCATTGAGAAATATGGTACCCATATTGTTGTTGGGGTGAAGATGGGAGGTAAGGATGTTGTTCATGTGAAGCAGTTCAGAAGATCAATTCTTCAACCCACTGAAGTGCAGAAATTACTTAAGAAAGAAGCTGACAAGAGGTTTTCTGAGGATGAGAATAGATGTTCCAGTACTGATCAAACTGAAACATCAGTAACATTCAAGGTTCAGAAGAAACGCATCACCATCATTTTTAACCATCTAAAAAAGATTTTATATACTCTGGAAAAGAATGCATCCCCATTAAGCTACAGGATTGTATTTTAGATCTTTTCGTCTGTCTTGAAATAGTTGATTGTGATATCTCCCATTGATAACTACTCCCATTCCTCCATACTATTAGCAGGCTATCACTTTTGCATGCTAGTTTGTTTTAGAATCTAAGACAAAGATTCTTTGTGAGATCAGAATATCTTTATTTGAACTTGTAAATTCCTTTCCAAGTAAGTGACACAGATTGCGGATATACCAAATTATTTTAATCCATCCCCATTCTGCTTTCCGTTTCCACGTTTCTTGTTCTCATTTCTTCAAAAATCCTTTGTGCATACCAAATGGGGCTAATAGTTCTAAAATCATTTAGTGAGATGTCTTGGTCTAGAACAAAGTGTGTTCATTACTCTGACTATATCTTTACGTTAGTATAGCCATATCAAATCAATTCTTTTATAGTATTGCATGAAAAACATGCTGAGATTTCCATGTAGACTTGTTAAAACTGCAAAAATGCAATTTTTATATCGTTATAGATCCTGCCCTAAATTGGTCTAGAGGACAAAAGAACGTTCATCAGTGCACAAATGCTGATTTTTTTTTTTCTTTTTCTGTAAATGGATTTTATAACCCTAAAATGGGCATTTCTTGCAACTTTAGAACTTACAAAGAATAAAGGGACGAGATCATGTAGGTTTTCACCTTACAACAGTACTTGTTTTTCCTCCAAAAAAAAACAAAAAGGTGGTGCATTCAAAACTAGGGACTAGATCATGTAGGTTTTCACCTTACCGTTAGAGATTGCTAGTTATTATTTGTAATAATTGTTATAATTTTATTTTTCTGCCAAAAGAATCTTATTTATTAGTTTATCCTATCATTAAGATATGATCTTGGGATATCAATCCCTTATGTTTTTGAATGTGCTTCCTATGAATTTCTCAACTAGCCTAGGATAGTTTTCTCTGCTCTGACATAAATAGCATTTTAACTCTCTTCAACATTTAGTACAAAAATTTTTTCCATTTCATTTGTCACTTACATTTATGACTTAGACTTGTTTTATTGTCTCATGCAGCTTGCGATTTAGGGATGCTATTCATATATAACTGCATTACCAAAAATAAGTCCTAATTACAAATAGTCTATCATAAAGTTTATCTGAGTTTCCTCACACCTAACCTTTTCTTTGGTTTGCTTCTCTTCATGATTCAAACTCAGTATCTAATTTATTTTGTTATCTCATTTGCAGTGTGATTTAGCATTATGAATTTTTGAACAATTTCATATTTTATCTTATGTATAGTTTTGCCCCTTTTTTCCCCTTTGGTTTACTGGTAATAACACTATGAATTTAATCTTAATTACCATGAAGTCATTGTGGTGAATGGGAAGGAGAAATATGTTGATATTTTCTTCTTATTAATAACACGTGTGTGTGTACAAAATTATGTATGCACAATTACATTTTTTATATCCCATGATGTTGATTTTTGTGACGATGTTATAGTTTTACATACATCTCTTTAATTTATGCAGGATGATAGAGATGAGTCGTGGAAGCTTGATGTAGCTCTTGCTGCAGCTGTTAGACCAGTTGTAAAAGGTCTCTCAACCAATGAGGTTGGTTTTAATTTCAACTACTATGCTTCTTCAACGTTTTATGTAACCATTGTGCTGCTAACACCTTTGAATTTTGTTATTTAAATGTGCTTCAAACAGGATCTCATAAGCATTTCTGTTCGAAAGGGAGGTATTGTTGGTATTCACCAGCACCATAAGGAGTGGCTTTCTACTATATCACAGTCACCTGATGCCATATCAATGCTGTTTGTCCCCATTACTTCACTGCTAAGTTCCAGATCAGGTCATGGGTTCCTTAGCCATGCAATGAATTTGTATCTCAGATGTGAGTACGCATGTCCTTATGGCCTATTTAAATGTCCATATATAGTTTTCAATTTCACTACTAAGTTATTGTGGTTTATTTTCTGTGCATCGTGGCAAATCTGAGGTTCTGTAACTTGTCTTGCCTAATTAACTGATGGAACATGATTGAAGCCAATGAAACCTATTAATTGGTTTGGTATGTGCTTGAAAGGATAAAGGGAAGGGTTTTGATTTTGACTAGTTATTAATTGTTCTGAGAAGATGGAAAGTGAAATTATTGTGAATGAAGATCGCTCATTTTCAATCCTTTCACATTCACTTTTATATACGCTAAGACCGGGTTCCTAGGCAGCATTAAACTCCACTTCTATCAAGATATCATAGATTCCTTTACACGCATATTCGAGCAAGTAATCTCAAATAATTTCCTACAAGATTCATTTAAAGTTGCTCTGAAACATTCAGATCAAACCATAGAGGACCGATTGGGTTGAGCCTGATATAAAATTGTGCCCTTACTGTGATGATTATCATTAACAGTTCTTTATTGTTCTAATACCAATAAATATGATTTTTGATACGTGAAGTTAATATCAGAATAGTCTTATATATGGATTCAAATGATGTGAATTATCTGGTGTGAGTGTTACATGTGTTTTTGTTTGATGCAGATAAACCCCATATAGAAGAACTTCGTCAGTTTCTTGAATTTCAGTTGCCTCGGCAATGGTCTCCATTGTATGATGATTTGCCTCTTGGATTTCGTCCTCGACATAAAAAGAACAAATCTTCATCACTCCAGTTTACTTTCTGTGGATTCAAGCTTTATGTTAACACCATTAAGGTAATTTAGTATAAATTATTAGAAGTTCGAACTAACGGTTGGGTAAGCTTATGTTTCAAAAAGGAGGGGAAATCACTGTTGTATTTTTATACTTGGTACGTGTTACCATTCCATTATGGCAATTCACGTCCTCCACCAAGCACCGTAAAGAGGTTCACGCCTAAGATTGTTTGTGGTCTGATTACATGCTTAAGTCTCCTTTAATTAGAAGATGCGACCACAAACATTCTTAAAGCCATGTTTGGTATGATGAAAGGAAGGTACTCATAGAAAACAAGGCTGATATTTTATATAATGTCCATTATATCTGTAAACAGTGTTTTTGCGCCTAACTTTCTGCTTTCTAACTTCACAATTTGCAGGTTGACTCTGGAAGTCGACCTGTAACCGGTATACGCTTGTTCTTGGAAGGCAGAAAGAGTGATCATCTAGCTGTCCATCTTCAGCATCTTTCAAATCTTCCCCAAATCCTTAAAATCTCTTGTGATCGTGGTTGTGAATATGATGATGAGCCAATTGATAAAGCCTACCTTGAACCGGTGAAGTGGAAAAAGTTTTCACATGTCTACACAGCACCAGTATTGTACAATAGTTCCCTTGACGATGAGCCCCCAGCCATTGTAACGAAAGCTTGGCTTGAGGTCAAGCATGTGAAAAGGAGAGAAGTTCTTTTCTTGAGGCTTGGGTTTTCCCTGGTAGAATCTGCGAAAATTCACAGATCAGAATGGGATGGTTCTTCATTTCCATTTCGAAAGTCAGGGTTCTTTTCAGCATTGATGAGCACTATGCTAACCAAGGAGCTGCATCATGTGATTGAGAATGAAAAGCCTATTGAAGATACCATAAAACCAATAATTTACAAGGGTGAATCTGGTGCTGAGGCACCTGTTCCAATAAAGGCCCCAAAAATGCTCAGCTTTGTGGATACGAAGGAAAAGGTTAGGGGTCCGGAAGACACGCCTGGATATTGGGTTGTCACTGGAGCCAAACTCTGTATAGAGGGAGGCAAGATCTCCATCAAGACCAAGTATTCATTGTTAGCTATCATGTCAGAAGATTTTGTGCATACATGAGAAGGCTAGCATGTTGTACATTTTGATACATGTAAATCTAACTTGTATTGTACCTTAGTTTGGGCTTGTTTAGATTTCAATTGAATATAATTGATTGTGAAAAAAATTAATTAATCCAATTAATTTTAATTATAATTAATTATGTTATAACATCATCATGTTTAGATATTATTTTTATGAAATTTATTTTAATAGAATTGAAGATATTTAGATGATTTAGTTATAATCAATTGTAGACGTGCAAATTACTATAAAGGGCATTAACTTTTAAGATATAAATATTAATATAATTGCACATAATATTAAATTTGTTAAATTCTATTTAACATGAAATATGATAATAGTGACCCAGTTAACATTTATATAATATTTAACATATATATGATTACTTGTGAAAGTTATATTTGAAAATCATATTAAAAGTAGAAGAATTTTTTCATTAAAAATTTAAATTATATTTTATTATAATATTATTAAGATTTTCTGCATATCAATCTTCATCAAAATTTGCTGTGTTTTAATTCCAAAATCCCATAGTTTTACTTTTTATGCATTTACTTATTTTGTCAGTAGTTTTGAAAAATCCTGTTTGAACACTACCTTCTTCAGGTAGCATGAAGTGCACCATCCTTTCCTCGAGACTAAAGGGTATCTTTGTTGGATTGAAAATTGTGACAAATAATAATGCAGTCAAATGCAATAATTGATTACGAAAAGTAGCTACAAACCGCACAAGGTAAAACGGAGCTGTAGGAGGAAAATTGATTATCAGAAAAATGAATTGTTTGGTTTTTTATTTCTTTTTCTTTTTTTTCTTTTGTTTTTTTGTTTTTTTTACCAAAACCATGGTTTTGGTAAGGAAGAATTGATTATATTGGCAAATCCAAACCGTCACTTTATCATTTATCAAGTACTTCATCATTTATATTTGGTAAAACCAAAAAAAAGTACTTCATCAGTTATCAAGTTCCCATTTTGGTCTTCCAATTGCAGGATATGCTTCACTTGTCTGACCATACCTGATGAATAAAATTTTGTAGTTTTCTCTTCTATTGACTGTTGAAGATGGTTTTTCTTTTCTAATTATTAATGCTATGGTTTTTATTAATATTTTTTATATAAAATGTTCAATACAAAATATAAAATTATAGTAATTTATTTGACACTGATCCGATCACAGTTATACCATAAGTGGATTATTCAATTTTTGGTTCCCTTATATGCTTTTTCAGTTCCTAGATTATTGAATTTTAAACCAATATTTTTACAAATTCAAGAATCGATCCATTTTTTAAAATATGGTCACCCGCTCCTTATTAACTTTTGTCCATTTCCAACTAGAGTATAACTAGTAAGACCATTAGTTAATTCTTGTTGAGTTTGCAAATCTTGTGCCCAAGAATTTTTAAGGTGATCCTATAATTTTTTGCATTTCTTGTGATAAATCTCATAGTCATATCCACTAATTTTGAGATCCATAAATGCTGAAATGGAATAATCATATTTTCATCTATTATGTACTCCAAGCTAGGTTTGAATGATGAAGTGCCTCCCAGAAACATGTGGTTCATGGCTGTCACTTGTACCACAGCCAATAATCATCACAATATAACATTCCAAATTCATACTGAAACTTGTACCATATTCATTTCTAAATTTTGATTTCATAAACGATTATTTGTAAGCTATGATTTCACCTTGAAATCAATCATTCCAAATTGTCTAACGTTTTCTTCATTTTTTTTTTTAAACAATGTATAAGAATTGATGACTCTAAAACTATTATTTTGAATGGCATGAATTTTTGCTTTTCTTGAAACTTCAAGGAAGAGGTGTTCATATCATCATGTATACCTCTCATTTCCTTGATTTAGAAAAGTCTTTTATTATGTTCATATTCACGGTTAAAGATTTTACATTATAACAACTCTTGGACTCTATAATTATAATTATTAGGGTATCAAAGAACAAAAGGTGAATATGTTCGGCATATATAGTTGACCAGCTAGTTGAGAGCTGCGAGCCAAGTAGCAAATTAATGTTTTTTATAAATTGTAAAAAAACAAAAAAACAAAAAAGCAAAAGAGAATGTCAGCACCTGAATTTGAGAAAAATCAATATTTGCATGCAAGTGTGAAAAAGGAAAACCATTTGATGCCCAACAAGAAAGTAGAGGAGCCTATGGGTTTGAATAACGTAGAAGAAATATTAAAAAAACAATATGAAAGTAATCCTTAAACATTAAATATTAACTGATTACTTCCTCCAGTTCATATAAACATCTCTAACTACTTACCTCGCCATAATTAATGAGAGGTGATTAAATTAATAACTTTATTTGAAAATAGAATAAACTTTTAATTTTATCTATATTTAAATGAAAAATTTTCTAATTCTCAATATATTTTCTCTCATAGTTAATAAATTTATTTAGGGATAATATTAAAAAAATATAATTAATACCCTATCAAGTGTCTTATATTAAGTACAATAAAAATCTTCTAGAAAGTGCCCTATAAAATGGATTGGAGAGACTAGGTGTCACCCATTTTGATTCAAAAATTAGATATTAATAATTGGAGCTGATGATAAATATTCAAATGAAACTTGCCATTGCAATCCATCATAACATATATAAAAGAAAATAGTTACCCAATATATGGTACTGTTTATGGGTGAACAGTATTGAAACTACAAAATCATAGTGCTGTAATAACAATAAAAGGAATTTGAAAGGACACAATAACACAAACTGAGAGAGGATATAGCAACACTTAGAACAGCCACTAATCACACATTTATTTCCGGAAATCTTTATCTTCGGTAAAGACACTCCTGTTTTCAGCTAGAGGAGAATGTTGGTTGAACCCTACATACAAAGTTTCAAAAAAAAAAAAAAAATAGTGAAGTCTCATGGAAAAGGTGGATATACATTGCAGCAGATGAACGTTCAAATTTGTTATGGAACGTTCAAATGCTACCGTCTGTTCTAAATTATCTCCTATGACTTGTTTTTCAAAATAAAATATTATTATATTATTTTTATCTATAATTGAAGATACATGTGATCTTTTAAAAATATAAACAAAAATTTGTATGCATAAATAATTTACTAAAATAAAAGAAGTAACCCAATATTCAGCTAATTAATATTTTTTGAATTTTTTTATAAGATAAAGTTTAGGTAAGTTGGGTCCCAAAATATGCTTTCAAGTTCAAAGAATGTTAACAAAGGTTTTCACAAATCGCCAATCAACAAAGTTCTCACATCAGCAAGAGGATTTGAAGCCACGATGTTGTAGATTATGAGACAAATCCTTATTAATAAGATTAATTTTTGTTAATTTTTGAAAAACTAAGTGAACAAAACAGCTAACAGACCATATAAAATTTAAAGCCCAAGCTAAAACAAAACAAAACACGCAAAGCTCATCAGTAAGAGTAACCCATAGAAACTATAAACCAAATAATAGAGCACAAACAGATTTATATGTCAAAAATATTTATAAATTTACTATGTATATTTATTTTTTATGCAGTTCTATGAAAATATATAAACATTACATATGAAATTTTGGGAAAATAATTCTTCACAAACATAATAATCACACACCACTTGGGTCAATCAAAAAGCATTAGATTTGCATGGGAGTCATGAGAATCATTTTAATGTAAAACTTACCTCAGGAATAATCATGAGCCTTAAATTTTGAGGTGAGGAGATGCTTGGCAGCTTCATCTTCCAATTTATTCAACCATTGACGTTCTCCATCAAAGTTTTGTAGATTTTTCAGCCCACTTTGAGAATTAAATGGGAGCTTCCTCAATCTGCTGCAGTTGTTTACAGTAATCTCCTTTAAACAAGGAAACTGTAATGCCATTCTACAGATACTCCTTAACTCCGTCAGATTTTTCAAATCAAGATAAGTGAGACTGCAAAAAAGATTACTTTTCACTGTTTCAGTGTCAACAGTCCCAAAATCATCTGTTATAACTTCCACCAATGAGTAACAATCACTTAAAGCAAGGAATTCAAGGTCTGGAGCATGTATAAGCCAATTCAAGTCAACTATATTTTCGCATCCAAAGAGAGTCAACTTGCGAAGGATGATTATATATTCATACCCCCAAAATGAGCGCCTTGGAATATTCTCAGCTTCAGAAACCTCTGATGTCGTGTCTTCAATTATTAACGGTCCACCATGAAATGGAAATGTTTCAATTTCATGCTTCACTTTTACAGGTCGTGATTTAAATGAATCACGTTTAATATGCTCTAGATGACGCATGCACCTTAGCAATTTTGAGGAGGTCAGTATTTTTTGAACAGAGGAGGGGCTATCGATAGAAATACGTATATCTTGAAGGTGATCTAAGCCTTCCAGCTCATCCAACAAGTCATTTTCATCGTACTTTGGATGCCTCTTTGTTAGCCTTTTAATTTCACCCCCATCAAACATACTAAAAACTTGAAGAGATGACAAGCTGGATATAATCCCCCTTGGGAATTCAAGGTATCCAACTCCATCCAGTAGCAAGTGCCTCAACTTCTTCAAATTCTTCAACTCCTCTGGCAATCTTGTTATACCTGTGCCAGATAGGTTCATATGTTCTAGGAGTACAAAGTCCCCAATTGCTGATGGTATATTGCTCATTCCCCTATTAGATGACAAATCTAGTACTCTCATGGTACATGGAAGGTCAAATAGCTGGGTTGGAAAGCCTACTTGCAAAGTAGTGTCCCTGATAAGCATAGTGAGAAGATTAGGATAATGAGGTTTTTGTGGTAAATTTAGATTCATACGACCCCTTCCCCTTCCCCATAGAGACAACTTTTCTATCTCTTTCCACTTTTCATGATTAGATACTTCAAGGCCCCTAGTCCCATCAGAACAATTTTTTACAACGAATTTTGTCTTTGTCCCATGATCACATGCTACCCAAAGAGCCATGTCTCTGATCACATCATGCATCTTTATTGTGCTTTTGTAATCACCATTTTCCAATAAGCAAGCTTGCTTCAAATTTGAAATGATATCTTCTCCTTGCTTCCATGCTTCACATATATCATCATCAAACTCAGCCAAAAAACCTTCCGCTATCCAGAGCAAAATAAGCTCTTCTATTTTAATGTTGTAGTCCTCAGGAAATAGAGAGCAATACAGAAAACATGATTTGTGTGTGCCAGATGACAATTTATCATAACTAAATTCAAGCAAGTAATAGACATCTTCAACCATTCCTGAAACCCTTGAAGGATGACTCCTCAAAATTTCTAAAGCACGACTCCATTCATTAGGAGTAGGCATGATACTAGCCATGGCACGTCCAACAATACAAAGAGCAAGTGGCAACTCTTGACACTCATCCACCACTTGTTTTGCAAGAGGCAATATATTAGGGTCTTCAAGAGTAGTTTCACCTACTTTATCTTTGAACAACTCAAATGCTTCATCTGGTTTGAGGCATTTCACATTTATGCGCGTCTGTGCTTTCATTAAGCCACATATATTTTCCAACCGTGTCGTGAATATTATCTTACATTCATGATTATTAGGGGAAGGAACTCCCAATTTCAATAGATCAATTCTGTACCATACATCATCTAATAACAACACAAATTTCTTCTTCTTTAAGATATTTAATAACAAAATAGCTCTATCTTCCATTGACTTGTCATCCCAAATATGATCTTGGACACGCAATTTCTTCCTAATGTTTTCTTGAATTTTTCCCATATTTACATCTTTAGACACTACAACCCAGATGACTACCATGTGTGCTTTCTTTGAGAGGAACTCATTGTTGAATTTTTTAAGCAAAGTTGTTTTGCCCACCCCGCCCATTCCATACAAGCCAATGACACCTACCTGATTGTTCTCAAAGCACGAACATAGCTCCTTAAATGTTGATTCTACACCCACAACCTTGTCCACAGGAAGTTCATCAAACCGATCACGAGCAAACTTTTCTGCTACAACATCAAAATGCCCTCTGCTTATAAGACTATTAACGTCACTCAACTTCTGGGTGACCACCTTATGGAGCTTGTAGTTAGCTCGACAATTCTTGGGACAACGACCTCCCAAACACGTGGCTTGATTTGCTTGATCACCTTTCTGCAGAATGGCTTGGACTTCATTTTGAAGGTCTTCAACTCTGCCCATCCAATCCTTTACCACATTCAAAACCATCAGCTCCGGATCTGGATCCTGCTCTGCTGTATCCACCTTCATCTTGACATCAAGGTACATGCTCTTCAGTTGATTTGAAGCATTTCCCAAAGAGCTGAGGTTCTCTCCTAGCTTGCGTATTGAATCTACCCGTATCGCGCAGTAACCACACAAACAGCTTAGGGCGTTAAAGATTGGAGAAATAAAGTCGGCCATCTTTGGACGATGCACCAAAAAAGTGGAGAACAAACAAAATTGAGAAGGAGATGATAAAAATGCAATGAGAACGAACAAACAGCTCACGCTGCGCAGAGCAATGTTTTGACTTTGAAGGGTATTTTCGTCATTTGACCTTCCCATAAAGATCCTGCCGGCATCATCGGGATGGATGGGTTGGCCCGGCTGCTCTGCTTTCAGTATTGTTTTATTTATCATATTGGTACCTCGTCTCTTGTTTTTATAATTTGAACGCGTAGGTTGAAAAGCATGTCTGAATGCCATAGAGGACAATGAAGTAGGAACGCCCAAAATTAGAAAAATGGGAAGATGACAATTATAGGACCCATAAGTACAATGAGTTGATTTGAAGCATTTCTCAAAGAGTTGGGGTTGTCTCCAAGCTTGCGTATCGATTCTACTCGTTTGGTGCAGTAACAACACAAACAAGTTAGGATCTCAAAGACTGGAGTAATGAAGTCAGCCATGTTTTGTTGGATGCACCAGATTGAAGAAGTACTGAAGATCGAAATTGAGAAGGAGAATATAGAAATGCAGTGAGTAATGTTTGAGGTTGGCGTAGAGAAATGTTTGACTATATCCTGTGGTACTAGTTCCACTCTTTTGTTTTCTTTTTCACAATTAAATTGGAAGCCCCAGCCATAGAAAAATTACAGTAATTAACATTACTTGCAAATTATACAAAAAAGTTTTGCCATTATTTGTCTAAAACAGTGCTACATAATTACTATCAATTTCATTTAAATCGATGGTTAGCCTTTCTTGTAAAAGAAAATAATATTTCTATATATAAAATTAATTGATCATTCAATTACTTTTATGAAATTGAATATATATATATATATATATTCAATTTAATTCTCTTAAATCATAATTATTTGTAGTTTAGCTAAAGCAGGGGCTTGTGTTTTTACTCTTTGCACAAAAAATTGAAAGTGTGTTACACTTGTTCATAATTTATATATAGGTATGTATAATATGATTTCATTTACTATCTTCGTTTAAAAATATAAGGTATTTTTAATTTAATCTCACTCCTCAATAAAGTAGTTATTTACTTTCAAACTAACCCTATCTTTTCATATTTATCTCTATTAAACACCCTATAATAAATATAAATTTATTATTAATAGGAGTACTTAAAAAAAATAATTATACTTTAAAAAATTAAAAATATATTATATTTTTAAACATCCAACCTGATCCTTTACATTTTTAAAATGAAAAGAGTAATTATTTTTATATTTTTTTTATTGATAATTCACTTTTGACAATATTATTTTAATATTTTGGCCTCCCTGCTCTGCTTTAGTATTATTTATCGTATTGGTGTCTTGTCTCTTCTTTTTATAATTTGAACGCGTACGTTGAAAAGGATGTCTGAATGCCATGTATGGCAACGAAGTTGGAATGCCCAACATTAGAAAAATGAAAAAATGACAATTATAGGATGGATGATATAGATTTTGAACTATTGAAATCTTTTGATAAAAAAAAAAAACAATTGAAATCTTATTATAATTTTTTACTTATAATAAATTATTTTTTATTGATGGGCTTCAATTACAACAAATTTTTATAAATTCTCAACTAATATTATAAAAAAATTTAAATTTTTTTTGTTAATTTTTTAAGTGAGAGCAAAAAATTACAAATAATTGATTTTTACAACTAACTTTTATAAATTCTCAATTAACATTACAAATAATTTTAGATATATTTTATAAATTTTTTAAATGATTTATTTATATATTAAAAGTAAAAAAATTAAAAATAATTAACTTATAATTTATAACTGACTTTTATGAATTTTTAATTCATATTATAAATAATTTTAAATATATTTTCTTGATTTTCTATGGTGCATGGGTTGGCCTCCCCACTTCACGTATTGCTTTATCATACTAGTGTCTCGTTATAATTTTCTTTTTGGTAAAATCTCTTCTTTGTATAATTTGAACGTTGAAAAGGATATCCAAATGCCATGTAGGACAATGAAGTTGGAGGACCCAACGTTGGAAAAATCAGTGTCACTCCTATTTCCATATATTTTATTCGTGTTTTATTTGGACTAACTCCGAATTTTTATGTTTATTTTAAAAATTAAAAGAATTAATGTTACTAAACTCAAAACATGATTAAAGTACATGAAGCTAGAGTTATATTTTTCCAATATTAAATTATTAAAAAGTACTTCTCTAATGTTATATATAAGTATTTACTACTCTCTCTGTTAAAAAAAATATAAGATATTTTTAATCGAATATCATCTCTAAAAAAGTAGTTACTTATCTTTAAATTAACCATATTTTTTATATTTATTCCTATTTAATAGAGTGTTTCACCCTAAAATAAATATAAAAGTATTTATTCAATAAGGTATTTTTGAAAAAAGACAATGATTATATTTTAAAAATTTAAAAATGCCTTATATTTTTAAACAACTTTTTAAAATATGCCTTATATTTTTTAAAGGAGGGATGAGTTACTTTATATGTGAGAAAAAATATTTTTTATAGATAATTCATTTATAAATAATTTAATTATCTATGAGATAGTTTTAGGTGATTTACATATAAAATTAAAAGAAGTATACACTAATTGAGGTTTCTTAAGACTAGAGGTGGAAATCAAGGCAAGCCTAACTCTTAAGGGCTTAAATTTTAAAGCTCGATTACCTAAAATTTGACCTAATTATGAGGCTCGACCTTTATTTATAGGGCTCAAGACTGAGCCCTTAAGTTTTTTTTCCCAACAAAAATTTAGCATTTTAATTTAAATAGAATATTCTAAAATTCAACATAAAATGAATTATTTAACATAAAATTCAACAAAAATTTAAAATTTTAAATAAAATGATGATTAAAATTTTTATCAATATAAATCTAAATTCTCATCATCATCTAAAAATAAAATATTAGATCCCTCAAATGTAGAAATATTCTAAAATTTAACATAAAATAAATTAAAGTCTTACATAAAATTTGATAAAGACTTTAAATTTTAAATTTAAGATGAAAATTAAAATCTTCATCAATGTAAATCTAAATCCTCCTCATTATCATCTAAAAATAAAATATTAAATCTCTCGGATGTAGGTCCAATTGTTGAAGATGGAGGTAAAAATTTAATATTAATTATCTTTGTAACTTCTTCTCCATCATCTACAATAAATATTAACCAAATTGTATTATTATCAGTTAAATATATGTATGTGTGTATATATATAAGATAATTTGACTTATTTGGGTTTGAAAGGTCTCCCATGCCCGAGTTCTTTTTCATAGAGCTTATCAAGAACAAGCCCTCAAGTCCGATTGCTTTAAAAAAATTAATTTGTAAAACCTAAATTTTTATTTAAACAGTATTTTTAGGCTCGATCTTTTAACCTCGACTTTTGTTTTTAACTCTACCTAAAACCTAGTTGGTGCCGGCTTTCAGTTTTATTATTATTATTATTATTATTTTTGCCCATTTTATTTGGGCAGCGTTTCTTCCATCATTTAACTTCAGCAGGTTGTAAGAAAGTTCATGCCGACAACACTTTAAATGGATGGGTTGGTTTCAATACTCTTCATGCATGATTATGATGGTGGGGCCTCGTCCTCTTGTTGTTTTTTTTTTTTTTGAGCAAAGTCTTCTTGTTTTCATTAGAACAATATTCCCTCCGGTAATAATGTCATTTTTTTAGCTTGTTTTATTTATAAAGTTTTAAATTTTATTAAATTTATCCAAAAAAACAAATCAAAGAAATTTTTTACTTTACCCATATTAAATTAAAATTCTTTTCTGAAGTTTTTGAATCTAGTTACTTGATTTTTCTTTTTTCCTTGAGCTTTCTTTTGTCATTCTTTCTTCCCTACCATTTTATCAGTTAACATTAAACTTATTTTCAAACTTATAATTAACTACACTTATCTACTCTTTTTATTCAAAAATATAAAGTATTTTTTAAGGAATTGGAGTTTTAAAAATTTAAGGCAGTTTTAGTTTTTTAATGTGTAATCATTACTTTTTTTTTCAAAAATATTCCTATTAAATAGATCACTTTATATTTTTTTAAAGCACAACATACAATTAAATAGAAATAGATATAAAAGGATATGGTTAATTTTAAATAAGTAATTACTTTACTGAAGTGTGAGGTTTAGTTAAAAATCTCTTATATTGTTGAACCGATGGAGTATCATATTTGATTTCACTTGTTAATTTTCTATAATGGACTTATTTTTTATAATATATAACTTGATAAATAACCTTAACTATTTTCATTCATCAAGGCATTCACTTATCAATACACTAAACATTGCTCGTTAATTTTACAAAAGAACTTGCTATTTTAATGGACTGAAAAAAAAAATCAACAACTTATCACAATTAAACTATCAATTGTTTGTTAAATCATCTTCAATTCACACATTCTATTATCTTGTCAGTCACCCAAGTCCACTTGTTAACAAGTGCGCAGCAAGTCATCATGTAAATGTGCATGTTAATTTAATAAAGCTACTTGTTACTATGGTTTTTGATACATTTGTTAATTCGTATGCATTCACTTTTGAATCTCAACATTATTATTCATTAATATCATATTAAATTTTATTTGTTAATGCCCAATACTCAAGTTGTCATTTGCAAAATATTACTTGACATGAAACAAGTAAACCAACTTGTTATTGTATCATACTAAAAAGTTTCCAACCACATGTTTCATCAAGCTAAACATTCCCTTGTTAGATTCTTATAACTTGTTATTCTAACTTGTCATTTTGTTCACGTGCTTGTTAATTTTTCGAAGATTACTTGTTATTATGATTATTATACCTATTTATCCTATAATTAGGTAGGGGTGTTCATGCTTGTCCTCATCTTGATGGGATGGGTTTTGTCTTGATTTGTCTTGGCCCCAAAAAATAGGACGAGACTTTGCTAAGCAAGACAAAAGATATATAATCATTGAGAAGTCCCATCTTGAATATGTTATTATATTTTTTAGTTTTCTTCTATTAATATTGTAATACTTTATTTATTTAATTAGAGTCAGAGTAGGTATATTTTTTGTTTATTTATTTTATGTTATTTTTACATAATCATCTACTCACTTTAAGTTATGTAACTCAATGATTCTGTTGTTGTTATAATACTTGTAGCCTAGGGATAAGAGGGTATTTTAAGCATGTTTATATATTATTTCTATTTTTTATTCACTATTTAATGTGTGAATTGAAAATGAAATAAAATAAAATATCTCACCTAAAGATTGTGGTATATTTTTAGGA